TTGATCCAGTTCAATCTAGATCGTACGGAAGCAGATATAAAAGTTGGGACATCTCGTCGTGTCATGATCGTAAAAAATACCGGTAATTGAAGCTCGCCGGTGAAGGAAATATCTGTGTGACCATAAGCCGAAGCGAGGAGAGTTGACGACGTCATCTGGTGAGACTGTTCATTTTCTTTTTAGGAGTGGGTGTACCTGTTCGTTTAGTACTAATGTGTATCTGTATCTGAAAATTTTTCAAATAAGTTTCTGGGTACTTTGAGCAATGAAGTAGTTCCTTTGAAAGATTTAGGGGCATTGGAGACTTATTGTAATACACAAATTTTAAGCCAGGTCATAATTCAAATATTTCAGTGTCTCTTTTGTTTCATATTATTAAAGAGAATATTATTTCTGAATCCGTGGTTGTTGGACGGGACCTTGTAGAGTAGGGAATTAAAGGAGAAATAAACAGTGACTACATTATTTTCTCAAAATCTGAAACGCCAAAAAGAGATGAGTGCCCAACCTCAGACAATCTTGACTTTTCTTGTATCTAAACTTATTTGGAAGGCGACGATAACAAAGCTCTTATCGATGTTTTTAAGAAGTATAACTCATTTTATTATTAAGGGCATCTCTTAACGCAGAGTTAAAAAAAAAAGATTTAACACCGAGAGTGCATAGATGGTTTTCTACAAGCATATGATTTTGAAATTATCCACAAGCAAGGCAGCAGCTTGGAACACACTGACTACCTTTCTCGTAATCCTGTTCCAGACCCTGAACTGGGCACTTCCAAGAGCGACGAAAGCAAGACTCAAGTAGTTAATAAGTCTGTGCAGTTTGTAGAATTACACCAAGGATGGTTAGTGGTAGAACAAAAACGTGATGCATATATCCAAGATGTTGTTGCTAAGCTCTTAAATAATAAGTTTCCCGATTCAATTAGTCACACTTACGGTGTTAGAAACAATATCCTATACCGAAAAATTGAGCGAAGCAAAGTTAGTCGTTGGTAACCTATTGTCCATCAGTCCTTTGTATGGACTTAAATCAACCATATCCTTACTAAGATCAAACACTTAGGTGTTGAATAGAACCTCTATATGTTGTACGAGCAGTAAAAGCTTTCCCAAATGGCCGAGCAAACCTTTTCGTTGATGCTTGCATAAAAGGTTCTTCCGAAGCTCAACTTTGCATGCGATACCTAATGTACCCTGTCCTTGGTATACTTCTTCTTAATCGTGCTCTCACTATTGAGGATCGTTATTCCAGAGTTTCTGGATAAGCTGCTACCATCAGGCACATTTAGGTACTGGATAGAGTGCAACGCAGGCAGGTATTTTTAGGTGTTATGGGATTTGGTCCGGTCACCTTTTGGGATTTAGTCCTCTAGTTCGGTTACCGTCTACTTTTCCAATCACTAGGGAACGTTTAAGACTGTCCGTAGTTCTGTCAGGGAAATGACCAATCAACTCCAGTATTCGCTGAAAATAGATATTAGATAAGCGCTGACCATATTTTGAGGTATGCGTAACATACTTCGCCATCACCACATTCCTAAGGCTTCAATTCTTTGCCCGTAAATGGCTTTCATAGTCTACGTCTTTGCAGTATACAAAATCGGATAGCTAGATAGATAGAAATATAGACAAGGTAAGCGGTCGTATCAGATGCATTTTTGTTCGATTAGTAATTTTCCTATCTCTCCAAATTTTATTCAGTGGAGTCATTGCTATTTAGGTCATGTAAATTCTCCTATGGATTTGCATACATTTTATTGGCATACTACTCACATACATATAACTGGGACATTAAGTAGCAAAAGCGACAGAAAAGTAATACGCGTAGGTAATGATTGATTATGTTATCAAGTATGTCCTTTACTCTATCCCTCGATGCCAGTAGTAATATTAAAGCGTTGAGAAAAGCTGTTTCTCTTTTCGGTGTTCTCAAGCGAATTGTTACATCAGGGAAGGGGCTTTGTAAGCGCGGAACTTTAGAGAATTGAGTAAAACACATCGTATAGAACTTTATAGCAACAGGGGCTAGTAGAGCCAACGGTCAAGTAGAAAGGGTCATGCAGATTTTAAAATGTCTGCTAACTATTATTGAAAACGATCCCCATAAAACGTGGCGTGACAAACTTCCTGAGGTACAGTTAGCACTTACAAGCCGTAGGGTTACAGGATATACTCCAACAGAACTAATGTTTGGCATACGCGCACAATTTTTAGGGATATCATTAATAGCCCAAAATTAAGACGAGCCGAGATTAGATTTAGACAATATCTGGAATAAAGCTTCCCTCAACACTGAAAACGCAGATCAAATAGAAGTAGTAAAATTTAATAAAGGCAAAGCTCAAGTAAAACCTTTTTCTCGGGGAGACTACGTTTTTGTTTAGTGTAGTGAGCGTAACCAAACTAAGCTGCAAAGAATGTTTAGGGGATCTTTTATCATAAGTAAAGTTCGAGATAACGATAGGTACGAACTGAAACATATCGATGAATCTACTCGCACTCTAAAATACTCTCATGAAAACTTGCGCACAGCACCCAGAGGCTCTGAAGGGTTAGTTAACATATTCACTGTACTAAGTAATGAGAAGGCCGAGACGGCGGGTCATGGAGTGGAAAGTATGGAAACGAAGCTTCATCAGATGATGAAAGTAAGTAGCTGAGTAGCTCTGATGGCCTCCAATATTGATAAAGCATAAATGAGTTGTGTAAGTTTGAGTTGGTGTGTTTATGTCCGGGTCATCGTTCAATCACATGAGTATAAGTAGTGGAGATGATGGGGCTAGCTCATTGGAGTCTACGTATCGATCATCGTTCACTGATATGTGTGTAGAGAGATGTTAAAAGCGGTGCAAAAAAAAACAGTTAATTATATGTGTGTGATGTTGGTCAGAGATGGACGAGCTTTGTAATGGCAACTTTACTTTTCTTTAGATAAGACATCCGAGTTTAGATTTCCATATATAGATAAGACATCCGAGTTTAGATACACATATTTACACAAAATGTAAAAATTGTAATTAAATATTTAGGAAATTGCACAACCATGGTAGGCACTGAAATAAGTAAAAATAATAAAGCAAACTTCAATACGATAATTAATAAAAAGTATATGCTGGTTCAGATTATTATTTATTTGGCTGTAACATTATTATATATAGCATTATTATATATTAGTATTTTTTATTATTCTTTTCCTAATGTATGAAATACTTACCTTTAAAGATAAAACGAAAACAAAACTTAAGGGTATCCAGAAGTTTTTGACGAATTTTCATCTTTTGCCCGTTTACAAACTTTCTTGTTCGAAAATTTTATTACTATTTTAATTTTATTTCCATATAATTTAAATTATTGCATCAAAGTATCAGTTAGGTAAAATAAGGGAATTTAAAAATATCTGGTAGGTAATTGAAGGAAATCTTTACAAGCAACTTCATATATTTATATTTTTTAAGTCCGACTGGACATAAATTCAAGACCAGTGCTTGATAAGGAATAGCCTCATTCATATTTTCTACGAAACACAAATGAAACTCCTCGAAAATCTACTTCATTTTAATTAAGTATATATATAGTTATATAATTAAGTATATATATATATACTTAATTAAAATGAAGTAGATTATATTTCAATTAATCACAGTATTTAGACACCATTTACAGACGGTGAGGGAAAACATCATGAGGAACCTATAGTTATCATTTCAAATTATAAGTTTGAAGTCACCAACCCGTCATGAGCTAACGTAGTGATTAATTCTCAATTCTTCTCCATGTGAGAAGAGGTCTTTGCTCAGCAGTGGGCTTTGGTAGACTGATGATGATATCATTGTAAGTCAAATAATGTTGCTTATAGAGGAAAAGACTTTTTAAGTTAATTTACTTCTTAACTAGAACAAGGAAAAATAGGATCGTAGTTAATTTTTTAAACGGCCTGGCTTATTTCGTTTTCCTTTTTTATATTGTTGTTGATCTATGAGTATATAATTATACTCGTATATAATTATATTAAGATAATTTAAATATCATATGTAAATTTGGAAAAAAAAACATTTGTTTAATTATATATCCACTTTCTTTTCAGACAAGTATAAGTTCCGTAAAATTATACTTACATCTTTTAAGAAAAATTGAATTGATCCCAATAAGTTCAAAGATAAAATAAAAAGATATTTCCATTGCAAATTTTGGCAAGTTTGATTCCTATCTCGCGAACGGAAACAACTTTGGCGCAGTCGTAGTTTGGAGTGCGTAAAATGTAAATTTTGTGTTCCTAAAGACGAAATTAGGCAAAGTTAAATATCTTTCAGCTTTAATCTAGAAATGGAGTGAGTTAACACTCTTGATAAAATTGTATTAACTCTAAAAAAATGTCATTAATAAAATACTAATAACTTGGTTTGAAAAATTAAGCAAAAGAGAAATTACAACAAGCTATACACATCACTAATGACAATAGGAAATTTATAGGGAATGTACTTGTATTAAATTAATTTGGTTAATAACGAACTCCTATTAAACTAATTTGGTAAATAATATTTGGTGCAGAAAATTTAGTCAGAACTTAAAACCAAGACCATTGTCTTGTTTTCAGTAGTGAAAGGAGATGTTAAACACATTATTTTACTTCTACAAAATTGTTTTGTAACTTTCATAGTAGATAATATCAAAAAATATCGTTCAAAGTATAAAATGATTTCCAAATATTAAAGATAATTATAAAAAAATATTTAAAAAGTAATTTATTAATAAAGAATTACGGTAGGCGTATATCCCGAGTGGCGTAGCGGTGGGGGCGCCCCCCGCGTCCCATGCTACAGCCCGTCCCGACGAGCAATCAGTCGCCCCTAAGTCATAGGTTTGCACACAGCATCCGAAAACAATATCTGTTAATATATCTTTAAATAACTTCTAAATCAGGCCAATAAAGTAAATTAGCATGTGAGAAAGGCAGTCAAGAATACATCAAAAACATTAAAATAGAAAAGAGGGAAAATGGAGGATAACCACAAAACTGTGTTCGTTGCCGGCTTATTGTTATCGTTTCTTGCTGTAGTTTCCGGACAATCTTTTGCAGTTGAAAAAATTGCTGTTGGTAAGTAAATTGTCCATTACTAAATTCAATTGGATATATTGATTTTTAATTTAGTTTAATTAAATATTCAGTATTTTACATTTTTTATCCGTAACGTAGATGTCACGTGAAGATACCTCTCTTTAGATGAAGTCCAATGGAGTACCATGTTTTGTTTCCGTCTCGCTTTCTCAATGTATCTTGCGGTGAAAAATCGTATATCGATTTTCTCTTTCTACCCCAACGCGTTCCTCCCTCTCACTACTCTGAAATCAAGTGAGAAAATAGATTTTGGGCGTGCGTTACAAAATATTTGGTCAGTGTTCACGTTGTTGGCGGCGCTCTCCTACTGTCAAATTACTTTTACATTCTTCATTTAAGTTATTCTATAACATATTGTTATTTTTACAGACATTTATTAATATAAGTAATTGTGACAAACAACAAAAAAGCACCTCCTTTAATCAATTGAAGAAAAGAAAAAAAATTGAAGTTTATTAATTGAATGCTCAACTAGCAAAAATTATGTAGTTGACAAACCATTAAAGAATAATACTGTACCTTATAATTCAGTTGAGAATTATTCTTACATTTACTAACAAGCTATGGATATGTATTTTGAATTATTTTTCAATAACCTAATTTCATGAAACTATGTAATATGCCCATATGACATTGACTAGTTCTGTATCATTATGATACTTTTAACACTTTTTAGCAAGTCAATAACAACACAAAGTTTTTATATAGTCTAATAAAATGTCAATATTATAGTTATGCCTAATTTTATATCCTAATTTGGTATTTGAAAAAGTGACTTTTGGAGTGTGGTAGGGTATAGTGTTCCTATTACCGATTATGAACAAATGCAAACATATGTATATATAAATTTATAAAATGGTTATATACCAAGATTCAGTTAAATATTCCTTGTATTTTTGAAGAAAAACGCTTAATTGAAGAAAATTTATTTAAAGCCCAACTACTATTTCACAACAGAAAATTATTATGTATTTTTTGACTTTTTATCAAAACGGAAAATTACTTAATTAGTTTTGAAGTATATTTCCGTATATTGCAGAAGTATTTTTATTCAAAGCAATTGGTAATACTGCAAATAAATTTATTCCTATATATGGCCATTTCAATCTATCTAATCAGCTTCTCGACTTCAAGTAATGAATAGGACCAACCTGAAAATACGCCTAATATTCCGGACCTGGACAGAATTTATCCAGCTGCTAACCAGATTTATAAAATCCTCCATGGATCGTGCTTTACGATGACGACAACATTTTACATATATATATTACTGAAAGACGTTTCCTCTACAAAAAGTTTTGGATCCATCGATCCTCTGTTTGTCTGGAGAAATAACCAGCCCTTTACCACTTATGAATACAATTTTTGTTGCGATTTCTATTATTTAATTTTTTCCCTATAATTGAATGTATTATCATATGAACATAACTATTATAATTATCATAATCAACTATGAAAGCTGCTTTTAAATATTGGCTATAAAGTTAACAATATGATACGATACCGCTCGTTAACTACGTGTTTATTGAGCAAACTTGATAAAGCGTTTGCGTTAAGAATGATGTGGCAAGCCAATCAAGATTGTGATGTTATTAAAATACAAAACCCAACAGAACTAAAGCTATAACATAAACGTTACAGAATAAAAATTCGTAGATTTTTACTTTAGTGTTGGAACCTTTTAAGTAAAATTATTAATAATTACATAGAATACCACAGTTTTTACATATTATATAAATATGTTTAATTTTTTTAGTTTGTAATTTTTTAAAACAATGTTAAATACATTTAAGTTACAGAAAAAAAACTTCTGTTGATTAGTTACTTTACACATTATAGACTGTCGATATGAGAACGTTACACCAAAATATACCTTGAAAATTGAATACTTAAATTTAAATCTACATACTAAGTTCTTTAAAATATAAACTAAAAATAAACTTAAATTGTTTTATACTCGATAGTAAGGTTCAGGCAATTATTCAGGTAAGGCTTTTTATGTGTTTTGAATTTTGAAAATTAAACAAATTGTCTGTCTTATATAGTAAAATTTATTACTTATATATTATGACTCAATATTAATCTTAGAATATGCAAATATACTGACTGGCACACATTCATCCTTAATATAATCACACCATGACTTACGAACGAATGCACAAAATTATTCAATTGAAATAGTTAATTGAGTACAAAGAGCATAAACAACCAATTCATTTTGAAAATTTTATTTTTTTTGAAACGGAACTTATCTGATGTCTGACTTCATAAGGGAGTATATGTATGTGGTTGCCAAAACAAATAGTACATTTGCATGATCTGTCATACTCACTACATAATCTTAAATAGCATTACTAGTGTATAAAATTCTAAAAACAAAAAATTCCGTTCGTAAAGAAATTCCTTTTTATCGTAATTTGGTCTAACATGACATAGAGTCAACTATGTCAAATATTATTTTTTACTTAAAATGTATCCTATTTGATTTAAATCAATCCTTGTTATTTTATGTGGAAATTATAACAGTTCTGGTGACATAACCAATTCAACTTAGCCATTAACGTAGCACAATTATGACGATTTTTTCAGTAAATTTTAATATCCCGGGCTTATAATCAATAAATACAAAACATGAGTGCAAGTTAATGTCAAACTGAAAGATTTAATTATGATGATATAACCATGTGGGAATTAACGGCTTATTGGATTAAATTGATTTCTGTTTCCCCATAAATATTAAGAAGTAACTGACAGTACAATACTAGCATTTCAAAAAAATCACAGAATATATGTAAAAATACTCTCTCTTCAATAAGCATTGTATATTGATTTATTCACCCTTTGTTAGTAGTTTTATCGGTAATTTATTTACATGTAAATTATTAGCTTTATTAACATTATAAGATATTTTTAATCAACGGGGAGATGATCAAAAGTATCATTGGTATGAAACCCAAAAATATCTTGGAAAAAGTATTTTTAGTTTACGCCTTTTAATCATATTTGTGCTTACGTTTTTTTCTGCTTGAAATGGCGAATATCGAAGTAAAATATTTAAAGCTTCATATGTGTTTTTTCAAATGGTTAGATCCAAAATGGTTTCCTAAACTTTGACATGATCGCAAATTGTTTATTTGATGGTCTCAAAACAATTAAATATAAGGAGTCATTATAAAAATTAATAAAAACACAAAAAAGGTTTCAAGTAATAAATTAAATGGAAACTAGACTTAACATGAGTATATTTAGTATGATTTCACTCTTAAGCAGACAATATCCTACTATAATAAAAGAAGAACGACGATATACGGCTGCTTTCTCGATCTCAGTAAGGCTTTTGATAGAGTATCCCATACAATCCTCTGGAATAAACTACATGAGAGACAAACACCATAATATATAATTAATATCTTAAAATTTTGGCATGGCCAACAAACGAATATTATAAGATGGGGCACCCATACATCTGACCCGACATTCTTGAGCACTGGAGTCAGGCAAGGTGGAGCCATGTCGCCTGGTCTATTTAATGTGTATATGGATGCATTAAGTGACAAGCTACTGGCAACGAAGGTCGGCTGTCACATAAACAATACATGCATCAATCACATCGCGTACGCAGACGACATGGTGCTACTAGCACCCAGCATCAGAGCCCTAAGAATTCTCATAAGAGAATGTGAGAAATATGCTGAGGAACACAATATGGTGTACAATATTCAGAAGACGAAGCTACTAATATTTAAGTATAGAAATGGGCCGGAAGCAATACCGCAAGTTCGTCTTAATGGACAGACTATTGAAATTGATTCATGCATAAAATACCTAGGGCATATAATAAGGGACGACCTCTCAGATGTCGATGACATCAACAGGCAAAGGAGAGCAATAACCATACGCGCGAACATGATATCACGAAGATTCAGACTATGCACTGATGAGGTGAAATCTTTATTATTTCGTACCTATTGTATGTGTCTTTATACAGCCGAATTGTGGATCAAATACACACAAAGTGCCATTAACGCTATGCGGGTGGGATATAACCACGCCTTTCGATTACTGTTCGGACTACCAAGATACTGTAGCGCATCAGAAATGTTCACTGAAAGGAGAGTACACGGTTTTTGGGCACTGATGCGTGTAAGAATTGCGAGCACCTGGAAGAGTTATACTCAAAACAATAACTCATTAGTCAAGGCATGCTCGAACATTAATGTAGGATATTTGTTAGAGCATTGGTCCAAAATACACACACACTATCAAGGGGTATGCTAAAGGTTACTGTGCGGTCAAGCTTGTGCTCACAATTTTAATATTAATTTAAGGTCTTTGTTTTAGTTTTTGTTTTAGTTTATAAGTTGTTATTTGTTTATTTGTAGTAAACTCATTAAATAAAAAGTGTGTAAAATTGGAATATTATTGTTCTGGAAATAAAGTGATTTATTATTATTATTATTATTATTATTATTGTTCGGGAATTTTGTTTTTCTCAGCCCGTAAGCTGGTGTAAACTACATTCACGGATATAAATCAAGTGAATGCAGTATGTGGTGTGTATTATTTATGTAAATAGTATTTATGTGTAGTATTTATGTTGTTCTGTCATTCTCTTCTAATTGCATGAACTTTCTTACTATTCTGCATGTGTTCAAAATAGCAACCTTCTGTATGGGGATATAGAGGGACTCATTTAGATCTAATTTATTATTATTATTATTATTATTATTATTATTATTATTATTATTATTATTATTATTATTATTATTATTATTATTATTATTATTAATAACTTTGTCTCCACGGATCTCTCCCAATTAGATGGTCTCCTTACAAGACTGAAACTGTGACCATAGTTACTATATGTATGTTATTATTACTATATCTTTACTTACTGTTTGCTTTACACTCATTTGCTGGTTATGTTCGGTTTATTCAATATCGAATTTCTACATTGCCATATAAAAATAAAGTTTAAA